TGTCGTTATTTCTCCTCAGCGCCTCTTTAACTGAGACAATTAGAGCATACGGTCTCTGCATTCCTGACAGTCTAAGTAACTCGAGTTTTAAGATCAGAGTCAGCAACCGTCAAACCTTTGGGGTTTCATTCTGTGGTGAAGTTGCGAACTGATAACACCATGCAACCATGTCTTCTGATGACAGATCACTTCAGTTTTACTGTATCTTGTTAATAGAAGGAAGTCTATTTTCTGAGTTCTGTTAAATATAGATTGCTACTTTTTTGAGAGAAAGACAAGAAGTAACAATGTACTCTTTAGTTGGCATTTTAATGCTAATTGCCAAATGCATCAGTTTTTTCGGTTCAAAGGCCATAGCCGGCAATGGTAGTGTAAAGGACCCCACTTAAATGTCGGTAGACTGCGGATCTTGTCAAACAAGAATGATGTTAAGGGGGGAGTTACGAGTTGGGTAGCATGCCAGACAGTGAGCGGACGAAATGCAAAGCAAAATTTAATTCCTTTAGAATGGTGCACGTCTACAGTAAATATTACCTCATGGTCAAAATTTAGATACAAAAAAGACATAGAAGAATCGACGCGTAAGAAGAGAAATGAACGTGAGGTGACATGACAAAAGTGTCCACGCAAATGGTCAGGGAGTAGGATGGATGCTCAAATTCAGAAGCCTCACAGAAAACTGAAATATTATATCCGATCACACCAATTTTAGGCAAATCAAAACTCGTAGTGTGCTGGCCAGGAGAAGCAAAATGTACGAGGCAAGGGCGTAGCTAGAAACGATCTAGCAACGAGGTAAAGTTGCCGCAAAGTTGTAATTACGTCGGAGATGGCCGAGTTGAATGGATGCGCAGCTACTCTGTAACGTGGGTTGATGTCGGAGGTCAGACTAGCCCCTAAGAGGGAATTACAAGGCAGGCGGAACTAATGGCAACAGCGAGCACCAGGCAACGACATTCAAATGAGCGACGACGGGAAAAGAAGTGAGTAGCTCGAAACGCGTTTATTCTCGTCTTGGTCACAACTTTAAGTCCAGCGCGCTCTTTCCTCCACCCCGTTCAAAGCCTCCGACTCGTCGGTGTCGGTATCGGTCGGGCCAGCCAGGACATTCACTGGCTGTCTGCCTGCAAGGAAAGAATGGAACTATTTAGAAACATTAGGTAAAACCTTATTGCGTTACACTGCCTCCCCTCCAAGAGGACACTGTCCGCAGTGTTTCTAGCCTACTATCCCTGAGAAGGAAACCGGAGGGAACAAGTGAGAGAGGGGAATTGGGAGGTGGTCCGCAATCGGGCGCTGGCTTGATCTGATTGTAGTGGACGGTGAGAACATCGGCGAAAGGTCTCTGTGGGTCGCGAAGAACAAACGTGTCGGGGAAGGGTTGGCAAACGATAATATACGGGCCTTGCCACGGCCGGTGAAACTTTGCAGCAGGCTCGAGGGGTGGTCGCGGTCTGAACAGTAACACGGAATCGCCAACATGATATTCTGGCCCAGCTCGATGTCGTTCGTAGCAAGTTTTCTGATGCTGTTGGGCCATTTGGATGTTGCCAGCAGCCAGCCTGTATACCGTGACAAGTCTTTCTTTAAGAGCTCGTGTGTATTCCCCATACTAAGGGACTCGGCGGGTATAAGTGGCGAGTGAATATCTGCCGGTAATCGAAGCTCATGACCGAGCTGGAGCAACGCGGGAGAAAACCCGGTTGAGTCGTGGACGGCGGTCCGATACGCTAACAGGCACTGCGGTAAGTTTTCGTCCCAGGCGTCAGGTGACTCGCGATCAACGAATGCAGATAAAATTCGCTTGATTGTCCTGTTCGTGCGTTCGACCAGTCCATTTCCTTCGGGGTGATAAGGAGTAGTCCGTGTTTTCCTGATCTGCAGTAACGAGCATAATTCGGCCAGGAGATGGTTCTCAAACGCCGTGCCTCGATCGGAATGGATTATCGTGGGCGCCCCGTAACGGCTAATCCAATCGTTGAGGATGGCTGCTGCGACTGACTTTGCGTCCTGAGTTTGTAATGGTACGGCCTCGCACCACTTGGTGAAATAGTCAACCACCACCAGTATGAAACGGTTACCACGACGAGTGGTCGGTAGCGGTCCAATTATATCTACACCAATTCGGTGATTAGGTCCGTCCACAGCAATAGGATGCAGCAGGGCTCGTGGTGCAGGAATCGGCGACTTTATGTGAGCGCAAACTTGGCACGCAGTGCAGTAGGACACCACGTCCTGATGGATAGTCGGCCACCAAAAGCGTCTGCGAACGGCTGCTTCTGTTTTGCGTTGACCCGCGTGTCCGAGTTGATTATGAATGTTACCTATGGTGTCTCGTACCTTCGCCTTCGGCATAACGAGTCGCAGTGGCTCATTAGCGTCGCTATGTAGGAACAAGACTCCGTCACTTATGCGCAATCTGACCAAATTGGCCCACAGTGCTCGCGCTGCGGCCGACTTTTCTCTCATTTCTCTGCCGGTCGGCTTTCGAGACCCATGAAGCTGCCGGTCATATATGTCGCCGAGATCCGGGTCCTCAGCTTGTAGAATGGCCCACTTTTGCGCATCGTTGACCGTCACAATGGCATTGACAGCCTCATCGGATGAAGTCGGGCGTCGTGAAAGAGCGTCGGCGTTCTGCTGTCTCGCGCGTGGACGGTATACACAGTAAAGTCATATTCTTGCAGTTGTTCTTGCCAGCGCGCTACTTGTCCTTCTGGATCGCGAAAGATTTGCAGCCACTGTAGGGCATTATGGTCTGTGCGGACCACAAAGTGGCGACCCAAGAGGTAAGGGCGAAAATACTTGAGGAAATATACCAACGCTAACATCTCTCGACGAGTGGTGCTATACCGTCGCTCCTGTTTGCTCAATTGCCTGCTTGCGAACGCTATGGCTTTTTCATCACCTTCGGCAGTCAGCTGAGACAGGACAGCTCCGATGGCTCTATCGCTGGCATCAGTGTCGAGAATAAACTCACCGGCAGATGGAGAAACATCCGGGAGGCTGAGGATCGGAGGGGATGTCAAAGCACGTTTAAGCTGATCGAAAGCTGCCTCACACTCTTTAGTTCACAGGAAAGGTCTAGACTTTTCGGTCAGCCGGTGAAGGGGTGCGGCGATGCCAGCAAACCCACGAACAAATTTCCTGTAGTAGGACGCAAGACCGAGGAAACTACGGACTTCCTGACTCGTCTTGGGTGTCGGCCATTCACATATGTAGGATATCTTGTCTGGATCTGGGTGTATACCCGAGGGCGACAGGATGTACCCAAGAAACAGGGTCTGGTTCTGCAGAAGTTTACATTTATCTGTCCGTAGCACAAGACCCGCATCTCTCAGTCGCAATAAAACCTCCCGGAGGTGTGCATTATGCTCTTCAACCGTCTTTCCGTGAACTATAATATCGTCAAGGTAAACCAAACAGGCCGTCGGGGTTATGTCACGGAGCACCGTTGTCATAAGCCGTTGAAATGTGGCCGGGGCATTCGCCAGGCCAAAGGGCATCATATTGAACTCATAGATGCCAGAGGGTACCACAAAGGCCGTTTTCGCCCGGTCAGCTGGGTGAACTTCAACCTGCCAATAACCAGATGCGAGATCTAAGGTAGAGATCCACGCAGCTCCTGACAGAGCATCAATGGTGTCATCGATGCGGGGCAGCGTGAAAGAGTCCCGTTTGGTTACGGAGTTTAACCGCCGGTAATCGACACATAAGCGGAGGGTCCCATTCTTTTTCTTAACGAGAACTATAGGCGACGCCCAAGGGGAAGAAGATGGTCGTATAATACTTCTGTTCAACATATCTTGAATCATTTTTTCCAGGTCCTTTTGATAATAAATAGGGATACGCCAAGGAGCCTGGCGGATAGGTCGGGCGTCCCCTGTGTCAATGCAATGCTGATGGACTTTTGCGTGCCCCAAAGATCTATTATTGACGTCGACTTGAAAGGCAAACTCATCTAGAAGCCGAACAACAGCTTGATGTGATGACTCGTCAATTGCAGACCCAGAGAGGAGAGGGATCCACCACGGTCCGTCATTAATCACTGCGAGGGTGTCTGCCAGAAAAACCTCGGTGCCGTCCAGGCAGATTCTGAGGGGAGAGAGCTCAATAGAGGCGTGATGGCAATCTAGGAAGTCCATACCCAGAATCACGTCCCACTGGATGCGCGCGCATACGAAAGTGTGCTCCGTCATAAAATTCCCTATGGTCAAGGAGCAGAATGCTTGTCCGTCCGGACAGAGAACAGAGCCTTTGGCCGCCGAAAGCTGGGCAAGTCGGGGGGAAGGGTCGTAGTTCACCCACTGAATGTTCGAACAAATCACAGAACAAGAAGCGCCCGTATCCAACAAAAACGAATCCATACGACCATTAAGGGTGCCCGGTACGGTAAGAGGTGTGCGAGCACCGCGAGAACGAACTGCCAAGGATGGAAGACTAACAGCACTAAAAGCAGACCTACCGGACGTAAAATGAGGGCGAATCGGTGGATTGTGGCCGCAACGCTGGGCCCGCCTGCCGAACCGTCGACAGTAGGGACAATTAGCCTGGGAACTCTGGCGTTCATCCACTGGGTGGCGTTGTGTCCGACGGCTGGACGGGTAGTGTTCGGCCACTGCAAAGAGATGGGTTGAGGCTAGCTGACGTTGGGCCACATCCGCAGCTTCGTAACCGCGTGCCACTTCCAGCGCTTTCTGTAGCGAGGTATACTGCTTGCGCACAAATTTAGAGTACAGTTCGGTGTTCCGCACACCGAGAGTAAAGCGTTTGAGAACCTCCATCGCACGCCGGCCGGGGGACTCATTTGGGAAGGCCCTGAGGGCTAACTCGCGTAAGGCACCGGCGTACGTGTCAACTGACTCTGTCGTTAACTGTCATCGGCTCCAGAAGGCTTCGAGAGCCAGGGAAGGTGCCGGTCCGTGATCAAACAGATCGCTAAGAGTCTTGAATAATTCGCTGACGGGGGCATCCGGCGAGACTCCCGTGGCCATTACCTGTCACGCTGCCGAATCGTCCAGAAGCGAGACTAGGTACGACCCGACATGTTTGGAAGGGACGGTGCGAAGAAAATTTTGGGCACGAAAGGCCCAGAGAGAGAAATCGTCGCCCGGATGGAAGGGATTGGGAGGTCGGAGAGGGGGTCGAGCTAAATCCGCCTCGGTATTTGCCTTCGAGGAAACATACGAAGTTATGATGGGTGGTTCCGATGCCCCAGGATTAGAAGTAGGCGGCTCAAAAGGGGAAGAGCGGGTGTTATCATCATCTTTAGCGGCCATGATCCTACCGCTGCCGCCAATATAACGTGGGTTGATGTCGGAGGTCAGACTAGCCCCTAAGAGGGAATTACAAGGCAGGCGGAACTAATGGCAACAGCGAGCACCAGGCAACGACATTCAAATGAGCGACGACGGGAAAAGAAGTGAGTAGCTCGAAACGCGTTTATTCTCGTCTTGGTCACAACTTTAAGTCCAGCGCGCTCTTTCCTCCACCCCGTTCAAAGCCTCCGACTCGTCGGTGTCGGTTTCGGTCGGGCCAGCCAGGACATTCACTGGCTGTCTGCCTGCAAGGAAAGAATGGAACTATTTAGAAACATTAGGTAAAACCTTATTGCGTTACAACTCCACTAGATACTGTCAGGGTTGTAAACAAATCTCACGCAGCCACGGCAGGAAACATTTAAAAGTCAATAACTGAATCTGATGAAGTAGTAAGCAAAGTATCTATGTCAGAGTAACCGGGAGACTAGTCGGGACGCGGTTGGCCGAACATGCGGCAGTAGTTGAAAGGAACGACGCTAACTCCCAAGTCGTGATTCATTCGATGGGACCGAACCACACATTCGAGTTTGACAAACAAAAATTCTTGATAGAGACGACAACCGCTCGATTCATGATTTTCCGGTCCCCATTCAATCAGCAAGCGCAACTACGTCCCACTCCATAATTGACGCTGAGAATCGGTCTAGGCAAAGTAGTTAGCCGCTAGGAGAACTTGCGGATAGCCACGGTCCCCGGTATTAGTGTCGGAAAGCCAAATCATTTAAGAATTCAAACGGATGACGAAATCTGGTACGGTTACATAAGGCAGTGCACGCGGAACAAGGACCCAATACCACTGATAAAGACTGCTGAAGGCGAACATCTCACTGAAGACAGACCGAAAGCTGATCACTTTTCAGAATTTTTTTGGTCTGCTTTTAATAGCGAGACAGGATTCGACCCTTCGGCCCTTCAACACTTCGAAGACACCACAATTATGGAGGCCGTTCAGTTCACCGAGGGTATGGTTCTGACAGAGTTCCTGAGGCTAAAGGAATCCAAATCACCAGGTCCCGATGAGACTCCGTCGAAGATTTCGAAGGAACTCGCTGGTGAGTTGGCTAAACCACTCTCCATGCTTTTCCATACATCCTCCAAGACCGGATATCTGCCACCCGACTGGAAGTCGGCGTGGATTACGCCGTTGTACAAGGGCGGAAGTCGGGTGTCTGCGAACAATTACAGACCTGTCAGCCTCACCTCCATTTGCTGTAAGATTATGGAAAAGATAATAAATCGACAAGTAATGCATTTCTTTGAGCAAAACCATCTGCTTTCCGATTCCCAGCATGGACTTGGGTGTATAGATCGCAACCTCGCTTAATTCTTCGCTGCAATGCTCAAAGGTAGCCAAGTCGGCTACGTCCATTCTATACCTAGTCAAACTGGCGTTCTCCTACTTTGATGAAGACTGCTTCGCCAAGGTCTTTCAAACTTTTGTGCGACCTCATCTGGGATTTGCTATCCAATCATGGAGACCCTGGACCGCTAAAGACTTCGGCATACTCGAAAAGTTCAACGGCAAGCAACAAAACTTGTATCTGGGCAGTGGTCACTACCCTACGAAACACGATTAGCTAATCTTGACCTCTTTCCTTTGAGTTACAGACAGCTACTTGGGGACCTAATACAAGCTTTCCGCATCGTGCGCAATCAGGGCTGCTGCCTCGCATCTGGAGACTTCTTCGAGTTGGCGACTACGACTAATCTGAGAGGCCATCCACTCAAACTGTGTGTGACTGGTGCCCGGCTAGTCACACGAAGGTTCTTCTTCTCCAACAGAGTGGTTGCAGCTTGGAATGCCCTGCCTGAGGATGTTGTTATGTCGGGATCCGTAGACACTTTTAAACGGAGGCTAGATCAACATTGCAGCGCGCACCACAATAACGCCGGACTACGGTCGCCTTGATAGCCAACGTTGCCAGTTTTGTGCTATGTTACTACCAACATTTAAGTAACATGTGCTTATGTAATTTGATTTGGGCCACGCCGCACACTGCTGCACGCACTTCTTTTCCTGCATTTTAAGTGTGCTTCAACAGTCTGCTGCTTGTAATCAACAAACTGAGTTCATGTGCCTCTAAATTCTGTTAAAGCACGAATTCTGTGTTCGTCTGTACAGTTTTTGTTATTCCCCTTGTATTTCTTTCATGTTACTTCCTTTACATTTTCTCCATTTACTTCCTCTGCATGTAACCAATAGGGATTTCAAAAGTACACACCTACATTCCCTGAAATACACTGATACTGATACTGATGTAGAGAACTGAAAACAAACATTTCGTCTAAAAATAACATTATACAAAACATAGGGATAATAGAAAACGAATGACGTATTATAAACAATGTCCAAAGAATTTTAAAGCAAAATAGAAGTCGATTGGATTATGTCAAGTTCCTCCTAGATTCTGTGCGGTGCAACAATGTCAAGAACTTGCATTTTCGCGCCATTCCGCCAACTCGACATTCCTCACCTTAAATACAATCCCACTGCAGTTCGACCGTCGCTGTCGACGATGCCCACAGTGTGTCCCACAGCAAGGTGGAGCAGGGACGGTGACTTGTGCGTGGATTAGTTCATAGTAAATGCAGACTTGTAGAGCATCCACTTCACTCTCCACTCCCCCCACTTGAAACCCCGTGTCAAGACAGAGTCAAGAAGACCGGAGGCGAAGGGGGGGGGGGGGCGCAGGTAGATGGCGCGGTCGAGCCCGCACTTTGGCGTTCCATTTCAAACTCCTAGGCCCACACAGCAAACGACTATTTTTTTAACCAACAAAAGCGCTGGGGAGCGCAAGAGGTCCAGTGTGCACTACGTTTGCTGGCAATTGTGTCTGCCACCGCACCCCCAAAGTGTTGGAGTTTGTTATGGTGAGCATTCAGATCACGCCTGCCAGAATCCGATGTGGCCCCACTTGTTGGTCCAGTGCATCATATCTTGTTGAACGATACTGACGGTTAATAATTGCTTCTTTATATTACTGTGCGACGGGCCCAAAACTGTGTCTTGTTGTAACGCGCAATCGCTCCTTCGCTATGCATGACGTCGCTTGCAGCTGGTCAACCCCGTTGTCAATGTCCCATATTTTTCATCTTCCACCTGCTTGAAACGGTGAACGTAGCTTAGTCTCCCTAGTAACGTATGTGCTTTAAATAACCCTCAAACATACAGTGCGTGACCGATCTCATGAAATGCTGGCTGAAATTCTGAAATGCGTTTTCGATTAGAAGGGGTTGTTATATTGATTGGCGTGCGGCATAATCCTATAAATTTTCGGGCTCCGCAGGATGTAGGCTTTTGGATGCACTCCCATTTGACCTCCTGCAGAAGCCGAACTTAGTAAAAAATGACTACTTATATAGCAGGAATTTTTGTATGGATTTCCGACGGTAATATAAATTCAAATACATTTTATAGAAAATGTGCATAAAATAAGTTTTCGTCTAGAAAATCACATTATCCTCATATTTTATACCCAAAGAAAATGTATGTTTAGGTTTTAAAAAAGTTTCTAATCATGGAATTTTAAGACCGCGGGATGTCTATGCACACAGGACAGCACATGTCTGTTTACCACTGTTGCTCATGCAATGTACAACACAGTCCAGATCTATTGCAAAATTTCATGAATTCTAAGGCATGCAGGACTATATGATTTTCTTTATGCGGAAAGCATGCGCCTTGCTGACTGAAATCGCTTAATGCTAATGCAAAGACAAATCAGACTAAAAATTATTCTGAACCTATTTGGAATCCTAAATATACAGTTCCTTTGGGTATACAATATGAGGACAATGTGATTTCCTACGGAACGAGTAAAAGGTTTAGTTTTATGCACGTTTTCTGCAAAATATATGTGAATATAAAAGACCATCGAAAATCCACAGGAAATATGCATGCTACACAAGTAGTCATTTTTTGCTGAGTACGGTTTCTGCAGGAGGTCAAAAAAGAATGCAATCTATTAACTTATTTACTGCCCATAGTGAATGGAGCCAACTTTTTGCTGAAAATTTTGAACGTATGATTTCAAAATAAAGCGCATTCCTCTCTCTCTCTCAAGAGCCAACATCCTGGCGAGTCCGAAATGTTATAGGATTATGCCGCATGCTAATAAATATTACAAAACCACCTAAGTAGTCCTTCCTAATCGAAAACGTGTTTCCGAATATCGGTCAACATTTTTTGAGGTCGATCATGCATTGTAAATGTGCGGATCCAAAGAAACTTTATCGAGGGTTAGCGAATGCACGCCGAATAATCCTACGAAGTGATGGGCAATCCAGGACACTTCTCCTTCTGTCAGACTTAAATGAACTCTACTAGTAACAGCGGACATGCACAACATTAAATTTACTCCATTTAGAAGGAAGACAGACGAGAGTTTCCACCCGAAAATTCAAGAGGTAGCTACCTACTAACAGCAGCTAAATATGACGGCTGTGCTACAGTTCAGCAACGAGAAATATCAGTTTAATTTTACAGGAACAGAATTGTATGGAAATGCAAGCAGAAATTTACTTCTCCCGGACTTGACAAAACAGATAGAAGGAATGTAGATTTTTGAGTGCCAAGTCTTCGGTGAGCAAAAATAGTGGATAGAGTACGAGCATTTTTTAGTTTTGCTAAACATATTCAGCGGTTTTTAGGATTTCGCAGAGGTTAAGCTGTCCAACAAAACACGGCCTTGCAATAATTAAGGCACTGCTCGTTTGCAGCGCTTTGCGAGGCACTTGGAAGGGCATCATTACCCTTTTACCTCCTCGGCATATAAGTTAGCATTACGGTCCGGAATGCTTACACTCTACATAAACAAACTGCAATATTTTTAAATATTTCCAATGCACACAATGGAGCGTGAAATATGTGAGTCAGAAGTACTCAGATATTTATAGACTTTAAGATGTCGCGTTTGTATATTCAAATTATGTCGTATTTCAAAAAGCGAAGATTCCGCAATATGGGAAATGTAGCAAATTTTCCATAATCGAATTGTTGGCAGATGCTTAATGGTAACACATCGTGTTACAGTGAATTTTGAAAGGTATTATAGCGTTGCCAGTTAGTCCCTTACTGTTTCATTTACTCAGGTGCGTGGGCAAGATCAACATGCCTCTGATATCTAAATCAAAGCGTAAGGTGGACAGGATTGTGACGTGTTGTTCGTGTTTGTCTTCAATGTAAACTGTCCTTCTTAACTACAATAAAATAAATGTTATGTCTTTTAGTTTTCAACTCAATGTAATCCGCTCATAATTAACTGGGAGAATGACTGGATGCATTTGTAACGTTCCTCGAGTGCTTAGAGTTAACTGGCAGGTAGGGGCCATTTCATGACTAACGCTAGGTGCTGTAATTTCGCAGCCTACTCTAAGCATTTTATTCGATTTCTGACACAAAATAATAAACTGATGCGCTTTTCATGCTTTGAAAATGGATAAGTATGTACTTTAAATTACTTCTAAATTTTCTGCTCCCGGACTTGAAAAATAAAATTCCCATTGCTGTCCAATGCCTACAAAGACCTTATATTTCGGACATCGATTTAATTGTACATTCATGATTTGAAATATTTCTATCTCCTTTGTGGGCTTATTGATGAACAAGTGATAATCGATTCAACGAAATTAAAAAAGTCACCTGTCGTCGCGGTGTCGGCGAGCCGAGGGCTTAGTCATACGCTGAGCAAGCGGTCAACGGGAAGGTGCCTTGGTTCGTTGTCGTTACGCCACGTAGACTGCGTAAATATATTCGATTTACCTTCGTCTCTTTTCGTTTGTATGCCGATACTGTATCGAGAATTTGACCTCTTCCATACTTAATGCGACAAGTGCCTTAAAACGCGCTTGTGATACGACCTGAGAAGTTAGGACTGATTACAACATCAGATCCCCACTTGAGGTGATGCTGACAGTCGGAGAAAATTCAATTAGAGGGAAATAGAGGAAAAGAGAAAAATGCGCTTTATTTTGAAGGCATCGTTTCAAGGTTGAGCTAAATTACCTGTTTGAATTATATCCACAAAACGGTTATCCTAGGGATTTCGTACATCGATGAATGAAACAGTAAGAGATAAAAACAAAAGAACTAGATAGTTCCGATCTAACGCCGAAAGTCAGTAACTGTTGGATCCTTCCTTACATTAAGAATGTGTCTGAACTCGTTGAAAGACACTTGAGGAAACACCAAATAAAAGCGGCTCACAGGGCGACGACTATTTTACACACTCAGCCTGTATACACTGAGGACAGGCTTGGATATCTTGATAAGAAAGTAGTCGTATATGAGATTCCATGCGATGCCTGTGATGCTGTACATTGCGGCCAGACGAGAATGTCTGCCTCCACACGCATCCATGAACATCAACTGGCATTTTAAATGCGAGACCACCTGACTCAACTGGCCATGTACACTCTAGACCCTGGACACACATTCGCATGGAACAGAACTTACATCGTCGTTGTTTGCATCAATCGACACATTGAGTTAGATTCCACGTACAACTATCAAGGGAAACGTGGATGCGTAGAGATCCAATCACTTCTTAATAACGCACACGGCGGCATTTTACCGGCGCAAACGCCAAATGAATATCGATATTAAAACACGTTTAGAATGTTAATTGTTATTAGCACATTTGCTCAAGTCTGAAGACGACCTGAATAACCAACGTCAAATATTTACCTAATATAGTTATCTGTTATGTGATGTACATCACTCCAAACAAAAATGCACGTCAGCACGTTTGTTTCCAGGCGAAATAGCACTTCGGCACTTCCCTAGCTTTCTGTTTGATGCGAGCATCCAATGGCGCAGATCTTCCATACCACAGAGAACTACGACTGGCTTTAGTCAATTCCGCCTCTCTCTAAAGCAGGCAACAAGCATCAGCTTCGATTACCGAGCACATTTATGAATCAGTTAGCAGCGGATCGCTTAGTTGCTGCGGCGCTGAGGACACTTACGAAAACGGCTTGTGAAAGAGGTAGAGGAATTATGGCAATATTAATAAAATACCTGGCAGTATCCTCTGAGCATAATAAAAACCTGAAGATAGTTGGTTGACTGTCCATTGTAAAAAATACACACTACAGTCTTCGGTGTGCATGCGTTCTTCGTGACGTGAAAATGTGTAAGAATATGACCGTTGTGCTTCAGTTCACCAATCAGAAATATCAGTTTAATTTTACTGGAAATTTACAGATGCAAGCAGGGATTTTCTCCTCCCGGACTTGACAAAATAGAATGTCTATTGCTGTAAATCCTGTCTGTCCGATACGCCGTGGATTCTGACATAACCATGACATCATCAATGAATTTTTGATCCGATCACGGTGAACTGGGGACATATTTGGTGAAAAGTTTGCGACGATGCCTTCAAATTAAAGCACACTTTTCTCTCTTCCGCTATTTGCATCTTGTATAATTTTCTCCGACCGTCAGCATCACCTCAAGTGGGAATCTGATGTAGCGATCAGTCCTAACTTCTGAGATCGTATCACAACCGCGTTCTAAGGCTCTTGTCGCATAAAATGCGGAAGAAGTCAAATTCCTGATACAGTATCGGCATACAAACGAAAATAGATGGAGGTAAATCGAAGATATTTACGCTGGTCGGACATTCTACGTAGCGCAGCGACAGCGAACCAAACCACCTTCCTGTTAACCGCTTGCTACGCCTGTGACTTAGGCCTTGGCTTAATGACACCGCGACGGCGGTCGATTTTTTTCATTTCATTGAATCGATTGTCAATTGTTCATCAGTAAGCCCTCAGCGTCCTCACTTTTAAACAATCCAAGGACCCCTCGGTGTTCGAGGTACGTAATGAGTTCCTACGTTAGAAACCCCGCCTTGCTGAAGGGTACGTTGTTTCATATTTCATCACACACTAAAAATACACTGTAAAAGATGCGTATCCAGGGGAATATTAGAGGGCGCTTCGTAAGAACCGAACGCTTATCTCAAGCACAACGTTGAAGATCTATGCTGAGAATCGACTTGAAGTGAATCGACTTGCAGTGAAGATTGGCAAGCTATGTCGCAATCTGCACCAACACATGACGCTAGTAGACGAACTAACTAAAGGAGAACTACCAGATAATCAATTTTAATGTCTTTTTGTTTTTAACTCAATGTAATCCGCTCATCATTAAATGGGAGGATTACTGGATGCCGTTGTAACGTTTCTCGAGTGCTTAGAGTTGGCTGGCAGGTAGGGGCCATTTCATGACTAACGCTAGGTACTGTTATTTCGCAGCCTTCTCTAGGCATTTTATTCGGCTTCTGACACAAAATAATAAACTGATGCTCTTGTCGTACTTCAAAATGGGTAAGCATTTGTGTATAATTGGAAAAATAAGTACTTTAAATTACACCCAAATCCTATTTTACTTACACCACAGAAATAGCTGAGCGAAGAATGTTCGAATAGAACTTGGGTGGTATTGAATCACCTAACATCAACCAGCGGCATGTGGCGAGAATCAGTGGACCTTGGCCATGACCTTGAAAGCGGCTTTAAATAGAACCTGGAATTTGCATCAAGGCTTTTCCAAGGTTCGAATGCAATGATTACTCCTCCACACAAGTGGATCTCAGTAAACATAATTTGCCATAGAGACAGCAGGGTACTAATTAAAGGTCCAATCTGGCAGTGCGCCGAATTGTTGCCGTCATATGGGTCAGCTGCGTAGGGCTCCACGTATCGGTGGATTGTCAAGCGTTATCCATGCTCTACTTGGATGAATTCCCCAAATGTGAATGTTTAACTTTTAGCCTGCACAAATCTTAATGCCCTGCCTTGAAGTAAACGCTTCAGAGTGTATTACCAGATGCTCAGTTGGAAAACTGTTGCAAGATTTGTTTTCTAATCCGTGAATTTCATCTGGGTAGTTGGGCAGTATTCAAGAGTTTTTCACGATTTTGCACGTGATTCATGATTGCCTACGCAGACGAGCTCGATTCCCAATCAGGTGTGTCATGCGAAAACCAAATTTAATCTCAAACTATTATGCATTTTAGGGTTTCTGTCGGAAATATTTGTAAGTATGAACATAGATCCACTTGTTGGCAATCTTTGCATGTTCCAGAAGCAAGCATGTTCAAGCGTAATATTGGCAGCATTATTTTTAGAACGGGAGTAACCTTCGAGGCAATTGAAACTATTAAAAACTATCGAATAACAAGAAGTGTAGAAGAGTACATTTTAAAATATTCTAGAGCTTCTGCAAAATTAACGCTGCTGCGTGCTAAGACTGTTGAGGTGGGCGCGAGAAATATTGAGTAGCGAGATGTCTCTGTGATTGTCTCCTTGTTGTCGGTTTCCGTTGCGCTTGATATGTGGACGATGATTACGACTACAGACCTTATGAACGTGCATTTGTCTTAAAATTTTATGTAACAGAGAGGCCAGGTTATTCATCAGTCGACGGTCACGCCATCAGCAGACACTGGAAGAGATCGCTGGATAACTAATGTCTAGCCTTAGTTAAGTTCAAGAGGGAATGCAGGATGTCCAGGTCAGAGTTGGATTCGGGTTGAGGGAATCTGTTGGTGCAGGCGTCGGCGAGAGTAAATGGCTACATACGTCCTCGGATTGGTGCACAGGTAAGTGCTTGTTGAATGTTCAGGCGTCCACACTCTGAAAAACCTCTATGCGCACCAGTCGGCTTTCGGAGTCAGTTATCCACTTGGTGACGGAATTGAACTCAGTGGCAGACAGAACTGAACTGCCTGTTGACCTATGCCAGACAAGATCTAGTCACTGCTTAATCAACCTCCTGTAGATATATGAAATTTGTAGAGACATTAAAAGGAATCACAATTTCCGCCGATGAGATAATGGTCTCCTTTGATGTCGTTTCTTTATTCCCATCCATTGCGCTAGATTTCCTAAATCAATGCACAGTTGAGCTCCTAAAGTCCTATGACATGGATGTTTCTGTAGCTGCCTTACTTGGACACATAGAGCTTTGTTTGGAAACCAATTTTTAATTCGATCACAAATATTATCAACAACTAAAAGGAGTTCCAGTGGGATCACCGATATCCGGCTTTCTTGCCGAGGCGAAAATGGAGAAACTAGAATCGGAAACCCTTCCATTGGTTAAACCTTAGTTGAGGGTACGATATCTGGACGACACTATTTGGGGTCGCAAAAGCCGTTACTTTGGCTGGGAACAGACCGCGCCTGTCGCAACTACTGCCATTTATTTTATTTTTTTTGGGGGGGGGGAGGGTGGGGGTTGTGAGTTTAGGGGAGACGGATGTGGTAGCATGCCCTGTCATAGGCTCTTATGTGATGAACATCACTCCAAAAGAAAATGTACATCAATAAGTTTGTTTCTAGGCGAAATAGCACTTCGGCACTTCCCTAGTTTTCTGTTTGATGCGAGTATCCAGTGGTGCAGATCTTTCATGCCACAGAGAAGTACGGCTAGCTTTAGTCAATTACGCCTCTCTCTAAAGCAAGCAGCAAGCATCAGCTTCGATTACGGAACACAGTTGTAAATAAATTAGCAGCGGATCGCGTAGTTGCTGCGGAGTTAAGGACACTTACGAAGACGGCATGTGAACGAGGTAGAAGAGCTCGGTCTTCAGGCTTAGACAGGCTGGCTTAGGTTCCCAGCAGCATTTACGGAGCTCGCAGTCAACAGAGGATACATAATCGAAAATGTAATTAATGCGTACAAAACTGATCTCTTTTTGGCAATGCTACATCTAAAATTTTTCCATAGGTATATGTAAAATTAGGGGACATAATATTTTGTGGAATTGGCACACCCAAGACAAAACCAGGACACCTGGTGAAAGTCAGGAGACTTTGGCTCTAACCTTCCAAGCGGATTTAGATGGGATGTGGCGTTCGTCGTCTTGGTTTTTTGGGCTTGCGTGTAGTGGATACTTCCTCACACATACAGTGGGTAACCTAACTCATGAAATTTGTCGAAATTTACGAATGACTGCTAATCACTTGCATACCGTCACCAATCCGTGGACCAAATATCTATGTTAATAAGGCACAGCTTGAAGAGAATTTAAAGCATAAAACAAATAATAACGACAATTTTTCGTTGTTGAGAAATACCAATTATTTTAGAAAACGCAAAATCCCGAAAACGTCCAAATGGTTGCAGTTTAGTAAGCTTCATTTTTAAATTTTTGAAACGTCTGCACATGAAAACCTGAGGGAATATGAAAGCACAAATACTATAACAGTTAAAAATAATGTTTTAGTGAAGTTTACATCTAAATATCCTTTTAGAATTTGTGTAATTCTAGGTATGACGTCTTGCCAACAGCCTACATTCTGAGTATAGATTCCATAACAGTTTCCCGAGAATTTGTGCTCCAACGAGAAAAGCAAGATTTTGCTTGATTTCATCGACAGGGACATCATAGGAACAAAAGTTTTTATAAGGTCAATAGTGTCAAATAATTTTGAATAGAATTGGCGTGTGTTATCGTAAGCATACCATTTTGCGTTTGAAAGGAAAACATTTCCTCCGTTAAATTAATTTGCACTTTTCGTTCGTTCAGGATTAGGTTGAGTGTCAGATCGGCCTTAAATTGTCGATGAATATTTCATGATTTTCAATATTTTAATCCAATCGCGCACAAGGACAGATTTAGTATTATGTGTCTGTTAAACACTGGAGGCATTTGCTGAAATAGCGAGTGTTTGGGATATCGTTTTTGTTAAGAACGTTATCCGGGTCACATGTAAGGACTCAAACAAATAGGAACTCTTATCATCGAGAAAAACTGACGTCCACAACAAAATTCAACAATAAATATGCCAAAAAACCAACCAAAAACCGTTTTTTAACAAATTACCTCTATGAGGAGTGCTTTTATACTGCATTCCGTTGGCGGTTGTCTAAGTGCTTAGTTTTTTTGCATAGTGAGGCCAAAAAAATTTAAGACTTTCGGCCGTTTTCTCCACTTTGCTAAACGATATTGGTACTTTCCGACCGCAAAAATAAGAACACACCTTCTTCTTCATATTGCGGACATTTGAACTGTTTTTGCTGTTTTAATTAAGATTTTGGCGTTTTGCTTGTTTCATTTCTGAATTAGGCACGCGCAGAATCCAGACTGCGCAAAAAGTAATATTTAGTATATTCAAAGTTGAAAGTGGTAGTTCGGTGATTTTCGTTCCTGTGACAACAGGTAGGATTTTCCAAACGGCAAAACATTTTAAGCTCATTTAAATGAAGGATTGCCTGTGTGCGTTATTATTGCAATTTAGGGCACAAAATCGCATTGAGCGGCTAATCTGAATTCTATAAATCGACAAAACATCTGGTATGCTTGAAATGACCTTTGTTTTAGGAGGTCGATTACCACGGTTCCCATAGGAAAAAAAAATTATTTTCAAGTCCGGCAACCTCTATTTATTAAAACTCTCTAGAGTAAATTACTCTGCCTCCAAAGGAAAACTCACTCAGATGGGCAACTGAAGTCCACAACAGGTATTAGCATCGAACATTCCCAGAGTTCTAGGTATATACATGGACGCACATGTTGGCACTTTGTGCACGTCTCCAAAGCAAACAAGCTCGTGCACCATATCTTGGCAGCAGTCTCATTAAAACAGGAACACCGTGTAAACCACATGAAATTCAATGTAAAAAACATAAAGAAAAACTTAAATAAACAGTATTATTCATTAATTGGTAAATTTGTAAAAAGGAATATTTTGATGAATTGTCACAAAAACGACCTGGTCGCGGCATCTACAACTTCTAACGCAGTTAAAGTACTTGAATGGACTAGAAAACAGTCCGTGGGAGCATTCAAACCAATCGCACATTTGCAATGCCGTGACAATCCTCGATGAGATTTTGCAGAATTTGGACTTCCATTGCCATACTCTCCTATAAAATGAGGTACACGTTCTGTGAGATGATATTTGTCATATGTACGTCGTGTTTGTCGATGTCCACCACATGCTACATAGAAGGTTGAAAGCATTAATGGTTACTTGCGCGTAAATTCATTTAAAATTATGCCAGCCTTGCGCTGTACTTGCGCGCTCTTTTCTCTTCTCCGACCGGAGCCCGCTAACATGAGAAAGTGAATCAGACAGGAGTCGAGAGAGGCCACAGATTCCTGGCACAGTGAATACCCACATCTAGGCTGTGATTAGTAAGTAGCTGGCAGCATTCGCACAGATTTCAGAATGGTTCAATGAGACTTTCCTACAAGTTTCCCGAACTCGCATTGTGTGTCTCTTCTGTTCAAGGAGTTTCCAAATTTTTTCAGATGGGAATGGGATATGGAAACGATGAGGAAAACGTTTCATTAACTGGTCAAATTCTTTGATTGCTATGTACTTTTGCTCTCTCGACATTTTGTAAACAATACAGATATTACAGATGTGCATTGATTTGGAAACAGTAAATTCTGATTTGCACGCTCTCTTTATCTGGGGTTGAGAAATGCGAATGGCAGAATATGAAACGGCTCTTGTATATTTGAGTTGAAGTTTCAAAAATGGTACAACTGTCAGATGGACGGGTTACAAGCATGTAAAGCATTCTCTAACTATTACGCCCTTTGGTCACATTAATTCGCAAAAAACCCTTATGCTCAATCTGTGGGATTTGTTTCAATCATTCGTTTTCAGGATTGGTCGAAAGCTAAGCAATCCATTAAAGTTTAATCTTATTAAAATGGACGCACTGCTTGTTTGCGCTGTTGAATTCGAGTACAACATAATGACCCTCTGCCCCCTTGGAAATTTAATTACATGATGGATTCCTGAAAAGTTAAGCTTCCAAACATACAAATCTAATACTTTTATTATTATCAAGAGTGTTAGAAATATGTTAGTCATAGTAAATACTCATTATCCACCGTCGAGTGATTTTTCAGTACAACAGATTGCGTTAATACTTAACTAACGCTGGTACTTTTTAAACTTCATCTGTGTTAGGAGAGCCTACATGAGCGCTCTGACAGCGGATGATCAGGTAATCACAGAACAAAATGTACTGTATTTAAAGTGCCTCCTCAACAACGCTATCGTGTTGATTGATTCCGAAAATGCGAATGACAGGAAATAAATATTGAATTTCAAATGTCAGTGAAGAAGGCGCTAAACGTGATTTTATTTAGGAGGAATTCGAGAGATGCATGCCAGAGTCCAATTGCGTCTGAGGGATTCCGTTTATGCCGACATCGTCGGAGATGGCAGATTGTCGGCTAAGGACTATGTATTATTTGCAATTAAAAAGAATCCAACTGATAGGGACTTTTGATGGTGGCTATATTCTAAATAACTATTCACGCACCAGTCTGCTTTTAGGATCTCGTCAGCAATCTGTAGACAGTATTGGACGCAGCGACCGACAGAGCCCGGAGAATGCAATCTTACGCATACCGCAATGACGGGCTTTGAAGTAACACGGGTGGGTAACTAAAACCAATTCTGCAAATGTTCGTGCGCTTTTAATTGTAGCCTTCTGTGAGGCTTCTACAACCTCATGTGGACATTAAATGCATGTCCCCTATGATGGTTACCTCAACAATTACCCTTCTGACTCCTCGAAGGTCAAGTTAAGAACACTGGCTGCCATAAATGCCTTTTGGGAAAACTAGATATCCATTTCAAACATACACAGCATAGGATGTGGACAGTGGTGACGTGAATGTACACGTAAATATTTGGACCCGTCGATGCATCTGATACCGACGATTACGCAACAGCTTCGTCTCTGAAAGGAAGGAGAGCAGATCTCATTTCTCAAGGGATTGCTGGTCGTGAAAACGAAACACTACGCAGGCAATAGCGTTCACTGTGGAAATACAGAAGTACCATGACGGTTCACATAACTAGAGATAGCTTCTTTGGAAGAGACAAAAATGAGACCAGAGTGAATTGTGGTCTTGGCAAAATTGTAATTGAAACGGTATGTACAAAAATAATATGAAAGACTGGCAGTCGGCAGGGTGGAGGACGGTGCGAGTTAGGCTTTCGTTGGTCCACATTAATGCGTTGTCAGAGTGGAGGCAGGGACGATGCTAGCCGGCTTCATCCGCTTCCCCCAAAACTAGTTGGCCTCGTAGTCCCGGTGAATTTGACAGAGCTTGCAGTGCATGCAGAAGGTGCTGACACAGCAGTCCTTTATGAGACTTCCCTGTGTGAGTGTGCGAGTGTCGTGCAGAGAAATCAAAACAGACACGATTATTTCATGGAAACAGTAAACATTACCGAAATATCAATGACGAGGAGGGGTAGAGACGGCTGTAAAAGTACCTATATAAACTGGGTAGGCATGCAGGACAATCACACAAAAATTGACGCATGGGATTTAAGGAAGACTTGCGAAATCGTCCAGGATGTGGCCCATTTCGAGGTTACAATCACACACAAGTCGAGTGTTAGTCTGAATCACAGAATTATTCCCTATGCCACAGTCATATAAATCAGGCTGAGCTATTGCTGAAAACCGATTTAAATGATATCAGAATGCTGCGACAAAGAATAGGCCAAATAAACAGGGAGTAAGCATACCTCGATATTTTGTTTGCCGCGATAATGCGAAGCCAACACGAGGACTGGGTGCAGTACACACAGCGGAGCTGCACAACCCTCATCTTGCAGCTTATATTCATAGCAGACCATGCAGGGAAGGCAGAAGGCAGTCAGCATGCCTAGAACGGATAGAAGTAGAAGAAGATGCAATTTACAGACATTGATCAGTTTCTGACTAAACATAGCTGAAGATGTTCCAGAAAGCCTCATGTCTTCACTACAAGTAGAATATTTGAACGATGAAATACAAGGACTTTCAGATTGAGGGGTCATCTCCTTCCATCCAATCCTTATTTCTTTATCCTATGGCGAATCCTTCCTATTTCATTCTCCTCTTATTGATTGGAATCGGTATTTATTCAAGACAACTGTTACCCTATGAGAATTGCAAGCTAGCACAAGGACATCCGGAAGATGAATATTTACACTAAACGCCTATGTCAACACTCAGGTGAGGTACATTTTCACGCACACTCGGTGCGAAATATCTTTGCGAAAATTTCTTGAAGATATTGTCTACAACAGCCAGTAAAATCTCCTTTTTCCACATGCAATTAACTGCATAAACAAATTCCGAGAACTGCTGAACAAAATATGTGGGGACCCAGATGAATAGAATCCAGTGAAATGTTTATATTTGCCTGAAAAACTTACAATTCTTGACGTCGTTTGTGCAGTCACAAAGGCCGTCCTCCCATTCACGCAAATCCGGCTGATTAGTTACAGGCATGGTCGCAGCGCAGGACAGAAAGACTTGGGAATAGACTGGTAACCCGATAGAGGTTTTCTAAACTCAAACACGTCTGCCAGCCAGCCCTATTTATGCAGCACAGACAGATCCACTACCCAAAATTTACCATTAGAAGGCCCTCATCAGTCTCGCCATCAAGCGTCAATCAGATCGCTCACTCATCACTCCACCCTTTGAGAGGGTCAAAACGACGCAACTGCGTAGTCCATTTTGTGTGCCAGATTAATAAAAAAATGGCAGGTGAAGCAAGCTAGTCGGCAGCAACCTATCCGACTGCTTTTAGATGTACGCTGAAATCAGCAAAGGTGACGAGGCAAATTCTGCTTCTCATTCATAATCGCGCTTTCCGTCAAAAATTAAAATTGCTCGTACGGATGTATCTTCTCCCGAACATTTTGGATAACTCACATGTAGTCGGCATTAGTTAGACAGGTTCACGCGTAATCATAACCGCAGTGATCTGGATTTAATGCAATTGCCGCTGTCGGAGGCTAAATACAGGCGTCTTGTGGGGTTTGCTTCCGTTGATTCATATATTGAATATACATGATTTAGCATTGCCCATAATATATTTTTACTGTCTGTCAGCAACCGGTATATCTAACGTACTGTAAGCTGACACGCAATTTAACAATATATGTGCGTGAAATTTAAAGTCTCTCCCTCTTTTTTTAAAATATTTCAATTTAATATGCTGCCACGCACGATGCAAATGAGTAAAATGTGATAGTATGAAGATATTTCAGTAAAGAATGCTAAGCCATGTAGGAATCAAAAAAGAGGAATGACAGAAAATGAAATGGATCTTGTATATTAGAGTCCAAGTTTGTTAGGACCTCTGCCCTCAGGCAGTTGTAGTAAGTAAATACCCGACTAAGAACCAATCAGATTTCGTGTGATTCAAATGGCCGACTGCTCAAATTAGCTGTCTCTTTAGGTGCATAATTTTAATATATGAAAATTTATCATAGATAGTCATAAAACGATTTTCATGACCAAGTACGCCGAAACAGGAAAATATTTGGCGATACGCATTTTATGGCGTTGCTGCCTATTCCAAGGCCACAGTTTATGCATATCCCTCGCTAAATTGCTTGTGGATTCTGGCGGGAAAGTATGTTTTCTACTAAAGCAAACACCCTTAGCTGAGTCTAGATATCTGTCAGTATACTCGTGAATACGAAAGTCAGAATATTGCACTATTCATCGAAGATGTTTGTTAATGTCTACGAACTTCGACATAAAGTATCTCTCTCGCACACTCTTCAGTGTGTGACTGACAAGATTTCTGACGACACAGACGCAAGTTGGATGACTATAAAAGCACAGTGTCTCAGTCCCTCGAAGTCATAACTATCTACCAGCCCTACAGGCGGATCCCGATTCTGCTAGAAAACCAAAAGAGATCGCCATTCGACCAGACGTTGTTCTCATGGGGGATTTTAATGTACTCTGAATTCAGTGGAGCGATACGCATGCGAAGTGCTCGAACAATAATTCAATTAAATATTCTGCCACGCACGTTGAAAACGAAGATGCGTGAAATGTGATACTATGCAGATATTTCAGTTTGGAATGTTATTTCATATGTAGGAAAGGTAAAAAGAGGAATGACAGAAAATGAAATGGCCATTGTATATTAGGGTCCAAGTTTGATAGGACCTCTACCCTCAGTCAGTTGTAGTAAGCAAATACCCGACTATGAAAAAACCAGATTCCGTGAGCACTGAATCACCACCGGGCTCATTCGTCTTCTCTGAGAGCGCTTCCAGTCGGCGCGCTGACAGTCTGACTGACCACAGAGCGCACGCACACGGACCGAGACACACAGAACTGTTCTGTTCTAGGGCAAGATAACAAACGAGTTGAACAGAAGACACTTGCACATACAAACCTCCTGAAGCAAATCCCTCACTCTCTCCCTCTCTCGGACTTGATTTGACACTGCCAGCATGTTGTTGAAGAAGGAGACAAGATCGATGGGACAAGAGCTTTATTAGCCTGACGTTACGAATTCCTGATCGAACCTATCATCAGAGTCAAAGCAGATTCGAGTGTTTCATAAACAAGGGGCTGCAGTATTTGTAGAATGCAGTCGCCACGCTACCGTATACGCTTCTATTGGCACTGCCCGCATGTGTCCTGTCTTGCTAATTAAAATTTGGCCTGATGATCGTGCATATCCACCACGAAAGCCGCCACAATCTTTAACACACACGTCCACTATATAACACGGAAACGACCAACATCCTCATTGCTGATGCCCATCGAACTCACTGGTGCCTCTGGTGTTGACACGCCTGCCAGTCCGTAACATATCAAACATATCAGATACAAGACACCTACCACCTATAAAATTCCTAAAGAGGATCACACTACAGGCTATATCTCGCCCTCGCAGACATTATATGACATTGTCTGCACATCGTAATCGAAATTTGGCCTGATTACCGCAGCACTCACAGTACATTCACAACCAAAGCCACTAACTTCACGCAAGCCAAGTTAGGCATCCGGCCACTCGCATTGTTAATATACCCGGTCACTACCGACAGGATAGCGATCCCGTGGCTCAGTGGTTAGGGAGTCGGGCATCTCACCAAGCGGCCTTGTTTCAGTCTCCTCCAATAACGTTCTCGCGGGAGTAGGTTGTTTTCGGTTTCTCAAACAATAATCAACCAGACAAGAGAACTTTGTCTAGTTTCTGATGGAGCCAAAAGTTTTGCTCAGTGATTGACTATCAGTTCACCATTGGGTTCCACATAATTGCTAACGCAGCAATTCCCATTGTGCTAGAACTCGAAATTTAGATTTTCGTGCCGACGGTTGGACAAGTTTGATGAACATGGAGTTGAAGTTGCTTGACTGTATGTCCTGAGAGTTGGGCTAGAGTGAAGTAGACAGATGACAAAATAAACGGCAAGCAAATGATAACTTGTATATGGCGGGCGTTGGAAATATAATTTTTTTGAAAATCCCCAAACGTAGGCTGGAGACATTGAGTCTGACTAGAGCCGACTGTCAGGTCTGAGTTAAATAACCGGTTCGTAAACGTCCAAGTCGTGCATTTTTAATGCACCGCGATAGATTCCATCGTATCAGATTTTGTACTGAGTAGCATCCAGTGAGGTCCTACCCCGTTCTCTCTTCCACTCTTCAGGACCAGTCAGCTACCCGAGGCTTTTTGAAATAAAACAGCTCACACATTTAAAAATCTCATATTTTAAAATTAATAAAATGTCAGTTCATCCGAAATAGCAACATCAGTATCATCCTTCCGCGGCAAAGTTGCATAAAGAAAAAGAACTGTCTTCACCTGGAAGAAGGTTAATTATTCGCCTGACGGCTTTGATTCCTGCTCAAGCGCATTATCACATGCAATAGCAGATGAGCATCAGTTTCGGAAGATAGGATAGGGCAGGAATTCAAAACGTCGGGCCAATAAATTGCTTGCCCGCCGACCGTGTCCCCCATTTCACGACTCATACCTAAGGATTCATCTCATCGATTAGATTAGGCCCAGATTATTCAATCTACCGATGATATAGCGCCTAATTGCCAGGAAGAGCTGGTAGAAGACAAACATTTTCTGATTTTATTTAGTGTTACTGAGGGTTCTTAAGTTAGTCAGAAGGCGATTTGTCGATCACGCCTCAAACATGCAAAAATTGACGCGCTGAATAACAGTATAGTCTAGCAAAACGCTAAAAAGGCATACTGAAGACGGTTTTGCTTGCCATCTTATAAATCCTTTCATGATTGCCGCATCCCCTCATAATATGATATAACTGTTAGAAGCAAATAAGCCGCCGAAAAATAAAACTCCATCTATTTACGTATTGGCAGCATTCCGAAAGCAGTGTAGATTATGGGACTGTCAGACATTCAGTGCAGATTGACGGGGCATAAGTAGAAATTTCTCTGAATCTACATGCTAGCTCATGGGAGAAAAAAGGAGACGAGCAGTGGTGGCTTGAAACAGTGGGGCTTGGTTGTTGTGAACTTGGGTTTGTTTCAGTAATCCTGTGCTTAGAATCCAATCATGGCAAATCGGCTCAGGATTCTCTGATATCTGATGCGTCCGCATGCGCACTGTTGCATGAAAAAAAGCCTTTTTGTGGCCTACTGATAACCTCTTGTCTAAACACACAGTTTCCCCTGATTTACGCATTGATCGGAAATTTACATACAAACAACAACCATCAAATATCCATTTCAAATTTGAACCTATGGTAAGATAATATTGTGTGGCGCATCAACTGCTTAGGTGCAAATTTGAAAAGAGAATGACGAATGAATAAGAAATTCGAATAAAATGCTAGTATAATGGAGAATATATTTTAGTTAGTTGGAATTGTATAGCATTAATCGAAAGTGAGCAGATATAGCAAAGATCTCCCGAACATGAAACCTAGACCTGAGATAGTGCGTTTAATCAACATTGCCTTGATTTCTGTAACATTTGCTGGACAAATTAGGCCAAGATTTTGTCCATGAACTCTCAGGACTATTTTAATAAAAAATGTATTTTAAACAGGACACCCTTTCAACTCCTGTATTGCCTACCATTAGCCAACCAAATATCGATTTTCAAGGGTGTGACAGTTAGATCCACAAGCAGATGACGTTTAGTTTATTATTTTAATCTGCCAGATCAATTTGCCCTGAGAGCCTGTAACACGCACATTCATATGTAAACTAGCGGCAATTAAATCGAGACGGCTTCATTTACCGAAGAAAGAGATTGGCACATCAACAGGAAAGGGATGGGACCTACCATGAAAACAATTGTCGGAGGCGACGCGGACACGTCTTTAGCCTGATTTTTTACATACACCGCGAGAACTTATTGACAAACTGTGCATCAACGCTTCGCAAAATATATGTCAGATAAATAATCGACTTTCCGGCCAACCCAAAAACACTAGATATATTAAGCAAGCATTCCTCCTCTCCCGATATGCAAATAAATATCTTTT